ATTAAATTTGAAATTTGAGAGGTCCATTCAGAAGAATAACAGCAGGGAAGAAGCTGTTCTTGAAGCTGTTGGTATATGTTTTTAAGCTTTTGAATCTTCTGTCTGCTGGAAGAGTTTGGAAGGGATTGTAACTGGAGTGGGAGGGGTCTTTGATTATGGTGGCCGCCTTTCCAGGTTGTTCTCCTTTTTACACCACTATGTACTCACTTGGCAGAACTCAGGCTTAACTGCAAACTACAAGGTATATATAACGGTGCAAGCAAGCTTGAGAGAAGAAGAGATTTTACTAGACAGATAGTTAATATGTTGTGTGGTAAAAATGAGACAATGTTCCTCTACATAAATATCTTTTCATATTTTCTTCAAATCAATATGCTATTTTTGTACTTTGCATCCTTCCACATACTTTCAGATTTAGGATTTTTTTAATGAGCGTAAAATGTTGTTAAAAATGCATCCTGCATACCATTTCTAAACTTCAAAGTTGTCAGATCTAAGAGAGTAACTTATGCTAATCATTGCTCTGTCAACTTCCCATGAAAATTTCCATTTTGTTTGAAGTTCATTATAAAAAAAACACTTTCATTTTCGTTTGCATCCAGTTAAAATATCCACAATTTGCTGTAGCACATTTGTAAACTGAAATCAAAAATTTCCAATCCAAAGTGTAAATGTTGAGAGGAACTCTTGAAATATTTGACTTGCAAATGGAAAATACTAATGGGACAAATAGAGAATTGCAGAAATAATGGCAGTTGTACAAGTCTATCATTGATGTGACAATGTCACAAAAGCCTCAGCTTCTCTCTCTTTTTTTAATAAAACCATAATTCCTGTGACCATCAAGAGATTCCAGCATCTGTTACCCTCCTAATGTACCTGCCAAATTTACTTTTCTTAATATGCAAGTATTCCATAATGTCTCAAATGCCATAATTAATCTGCGAAAACAGAACACCAGTAATAGCAATGGAAGGGAGGAAATGGTTCAAAAATATAAAGGTAACATCAATTGGAAATTTCAAAAATATTCAGCGGCAATTATTTCATTTCTATTCTCAACTATAGAATAAGTTGATTCTTTCAAGAATGCAGTCCCGAATTGTGCTAACCTTGCTTGTAGGTGCATTGAAAAAATGCAAATGCTACCTTTTTCAGTGTATTTCATGAATGCAAAACCCAGCCAGTCGAGTTTAAATTACCCACTATATTAGTAAGGATTTTCTCTAGGTTTTTGGAATTCCATCAGTTCATAATAGGATAAAACATCTCTACAATGAAGTTTAGTTCTTCTGTTAACCACCCATTAATGGAATTGTTTCTCTAACTCATCTTCACTCGTTACAGTCATGCTGACAGATTTCCCTCCAGATGCAGTCCATTCATACTGAGGCCTACATACCACAAAATCATATTCATAAAAGAATAATGGCTCATGTGTTCAATACATCGTAGCTGGAGTAGTTTTATACTATCAGGTTTCCTCTTAGTGTGTGACATTTAGGTAGAAAGTAATAAATTGGTCTGCTGCCAATCCACAATATGACTGCTGCCAAACAGGAATATAATATAAACTATCCTTACAAAGCATTCTCTGTTGCTAGCAATGTCAGTCAGGCTCCTGTTTAGAAGTATCAACCGACTTCTAGCCAGAATTTGCAGCATGAGCTTTTCTTTTCATTTGACTAATAGTTCAATCAATTTAATTTTTGATATGCTGGGATTTAAGTGAAAATCATTTTGCCACTTGAATATGTGCAAATAGTTCTTATTGTTTTCACTCCTTATGTCACACTGAATTTCCACCGCATCACATTTTAACATGCACATAGTCTCCTCAACTGAAAGTATTGATGAAGTATGAAGTGTGTAAATTCCGTGTGTTCAACATCATCTAAAGTATGATTGTAGCAAAGTCTCAGTTTGACCCCTCTGTCAGATCCTACCAGAATTTGACTACATAATCTTGGTTCACACTGTAGTATAACCAGACATGCCACGATTGGGATGAAATGTTAAATAAGTGCTTAGTGCTGTTTAAAAAAATTGGAAATGATTCCCTTCTCAGACAGATCTTCCTTTCATTGAGATGCTGTTAAATTTGAGCAGCCAGCTTACTAAGGCATAGAATGTTGGATTGTATGCAGAAAGTCAAAATTGTTTTACTAAGTCATTGAAGGCTTATAGCAGCAGAGGTACTTTCCAGAGCTGTACATATTGAGATACATAACGTACCGTGATAAAATGGAGAACAAGTCCAAAATTCCCCAAATGGTGAGAGTATCAAATATCTTGATCAGATGGCCATGAGAAGTGCCTTGAAGCACTGAGGTGTTTCCACAGGAGAAAGAAGAGAAAGAAAAGGGTACATTATAAAATTATTAGAATTGAGAAAACTAACCCAGTGGTTGTATTTTGTAATTTGGAAATTTTCCTTATCTCTTCCTATTGCCTGACTGAGTTAACCCATATTGAACTATGGTTCACCATTTTAGCAGCTCCCCAGACCCTCACCCAAGTGTTTTGTATTCCTTTGAAAATCTGTCTTATGTTTTAGTATCACAAGTCAAATCTGATCCTGGGGCCACCTTGTACCTACACTCATGCACATCTTCTGCTTCATATCAGACAATTACGATGCAGACTGATTTCCCCCTTTTGTTCCTCTCTTGGTAGATATTGAGGCCCATTTTAGCCTCCCCACAGCTCCAAAAGGAAGCCAAACCTTTGACCTTCTTAGCTTGCATATCTCACTGCTACACAAAGTGCTGTATTTAGCCATTAAACTACTGGAAAAGGGATGAATAAGGAATTTAAACCAAAGCCGCTGTCATTTAAAATCAACGCTGAGATCAGATTTCAGATATTAAAAAAGTACCAAGTTCCTTGCTTTGCATTTTTGTATTCCATGCATTTTGATTTTATTTGTTACATTTCATTTGTTACTTCAGAAAGAGTCACAGATAGCCCACATCAACACATGGAATTGAGACATACTGATCTGGAAATTTTAAAGGATGAGAGGTGATCTCATTGAAACAACTGACCTTAAAAATATACCCCCTAGTTTTAAACTCCCCTACCCTAGGAAAAGACCTTTGTCATTCACCTTATCTATGCCCTTCATGATTTTATAAACCTCAAAAAGATCACTCCTTAACCTCCTATGCTCTTGTGAAAGAAGTCCCAGCCTTTCCAGTCTCTTTTTATATCTCAACCCTCCATTTTCAGGAACATCCTGGTAAATCTTTTCTGAAGCCAGTCCGGTTTAATAATATCCTACCTATAACAAAGCCAAAGAAAGAAAGAGAAAAGTGAAGGGAGAACTTGTCCCAGGCTGGTATACTATAGGGATGAATAAATTATGAATAAATTAATAAAAATGCATATTTATCTAATTCAGCAGCATCCAAATAGCACAGAAGTAAAGGGAGAGGCCTCCTCATTCCTACCAAGAGCCAGCAACTACACTCCTCTCCTCCAAGTGTTCACAGACCAAAGACCCTTTGAATTAGTAATTTTAGTCCAAAGTCTCTAGATTCCTTCAAAAACAACCATGCATCACCTCCATTACCCCAGCATGGTCTAACAGCCTTGATCTCCATACAGCACCCCAGGCCACCAAAACATGGGAGGTTCTTTAGTTTTCTGTGCACCTGCCCAACCTACTCTTTGCCTTATCCTTGACAGCAATGCGATTAACTACTTAAGCACCACATTGCAATGCCCTCTCTCCCATGGGATCTTCAGCATCCACGATCTTGATTTGAAGTTTCATATGTAACATGGCACCTTTAACAATGCAACACTTCTTCGGTCCTGCACTGAAAGTACTGAGATTCTGGGGAGTTGAACCCACAACCTTCTGGCCCTCTCAGAATTAGTAAAACAATGTCAATTGGATAAAGGCCAGGGAGTAAAAGTAGTCAGGGAAGCAGCTGGTTTATATCTAGCTCAGTACTACAACAGGACATTGATGGTTTAGCAGAATTTAATAAAGAAGTACAAAGTGATGAACTTTGATGACAGGGATAGGCAAAATAAATGGCACTGTTCTTAAAATATGTATAGAAATAAAGGGTCCTGGGGATGTCCAGGTATAAATTTCTGAAGGTATCAACGTATCATGAGAGTATGGTTAACAAAGGATATGGAAGCTCGGGCTTTGTAAATAGAAAACAGGGAAGTTCTGAGGAAGGGTCACTCAACCAGAAACATTAACTCTGATTTCTCACCACAGATGGTGCCAGAGCTGTTGACTTTCCAGCAATTTCTATTTTTGTTTCTGATTTACACCATCCGCAGTTCTTTTGGAAGTTATGGTGAACTTGTGTAAAGCTCTGGCTGGGCCCCTGCTGGAGTACTGCATCCAGTTCTGGTCACCACTCTTTGTGAAGGTTCTTAAGGGGATACAGAGGAGATTTAGTAGATGGCTCCAGAGATTGGGGAGGGGAGGGGTTTGGGAGGGGGTTGGTGTGGTATTGACAAGTTTACTTTGTGGAGCTTGAATAGAGTAGGTAAGGGTAGACTATTACTATTTGCTTGTGGTGCAAGACTAAGGGATACAGGTTTTTGGTTTTGCGTAAGTGCTGCAGACAAAGGCATTTGATGAAGAACATTTTTATGCAGAAAGTAGTATTGACCTGACAAGGGTAGAAGCAGAGACCATGAATGATGTCAAAATAAGACTGTAGGGGTGCTTCAAGGAAATAAATGAGAAGGACTGTGAGGATAAGAGCAGAGGAATGGGTCATAGAATCCCTACAGCTCAGAAAGAGGCCAATCGGCAACTGTAGAATTCATATTCTGAAGCAAAGACAATAAGTCAATAGGCTGGAAAAGACAATATCACATTCTCAGGTCACATCCAAGGAACTACAAATTGCTTTATGTAATAAAGTTTCTGTCCTGTTTATAAAAATGTCATTGATGCATTTGTAAGCAAGCTTTAAAACAAAACCTCAAAACTAAACAATGTTTTTTCAATGTTCTCATTTCAGGGCAATCCCTACATGTGCTTTAGTGAATGTGATGCTTCGAACCCAGACCTGGCTCACCCACCCAAACTAATGTTTGATCAGGAGAATAATGGACCTGTAACTTATTGGCAAAGTATCACTTGGAGCAAATACCCTGAACCTCTCCTGGCCAACATCACCCTCTCCTGGAATAAGAGCATACAACTCACTGAGAATATAGTTATTACTTTTGAGGCAGGTCGACCCACCACCATGATATTGGAGAAGTCCCTAAACTATGGAAGGACATGGCAGCCTTACCAGTACTATGCGGAGGATTGCATGGAGGCTTTCAGAATGGAGGCCAAAAATGTCCGGGATCTCTCACCCGTCACTGCCCTACAGATTATCTGCACAGAAGACTACTCCAAGTGGGTGGGCTTTGAAAATGAGAAGAATTTGCACTTTGAGGTCAAGGAACGCTTTGCCATTTTTGCAGGCCCACTCCTCCGGAACATGGAGGCTCTGTACAAGAGGATGGACATTAACAAGGGGCTAAGGGACTTTTTCACCTTAACAGACCTTCGAATTAGGCTGATCAAACCTGCAACTGGAGGGACATTCGTTCAGAGGAAATATCTAAATAAATACTTCTATGCTATTTCGAATGTTGAAATCATGGGCAGGTAAGATTATTGTTGGAATAGTATTTTTTTTAAAGTCTCATTTGCTTTTTTATCAGAATGGATTGTATGAAACATCAGTGAAACTGATGTTACTAATTCTGGAGTGTTGCAGTCTTCAGGCTCTGGGGCAAAAGCAAACAAAAAAGGTGAAGCTTTTGGATGTAAGCCAGAGCTAACCAGTCCACTGACATTTGGACAAGTTGTGACTGGACTGTCTTAGAGCGGTTCATTACAAATCTAAATGCCCAAGTTAGCACAAAAAAAGAACCAACAGGTTCAAAGGTTAGTTTTCGGTCTTGTCTCCGTGAACTGTGAGGAGGATCTAAATGAATCAAATTTGGGAAAAAAAAGTTCACTTTGTCTAAGGTAATAAACCCAGCAAAGTTGGACAGGTGAGGAACTGAAAGTAATCTATTTCAAAGACTTTTTCTGGTGTGCAAACATTATTTTTAAAAGTGTCCTTTGCTATTTTTCTACTCTCTTCATTCTGATCTTTGAATGTGCCTTTTGTTTCTGTTCAAAAGCTGGACTGTTCTAGCCACAGCTAACTTCAATATCATAGTGTTTTTATAGCGCAGAAAGAGACCTCTCGTCCCATCGTGTCTGTACTGGTCATCAAGAATCAATCAATTCTATTCCCATTTTCCAGCAATTGGCCCATCAACTTGTATGCTGAGGCATTTCAGGTGCTTACCTAAATACTTCACAAATGTCTTGAAGGATCCCCCCCAAGCCACCCTTTTAGGCAGAGAGTTCCATACACTCACCACCTTCTGGGTGAAACAAATTCTCCTCAAATCCACTCCAAACCTCTTGTTCCTTATGTTAAAACTGTTTTTCCTGGTTAATGTCCTTCTACTGAGGGGGAAATTTCACTCTAATCAACCAATCTGTGCCATGAATGTATTAGTTACTGGACAGGAAGCTTTCTGTCTTTATTGAAATTATTACACAAAGCAATGTGCCGTTCTTGCCATCATCAACTGACTTTTAAGATGGTTAGCCTGCCACCCAGTCTGTAGAAATGACACTCATCAGTAATGAGCAAGATTGTCTTTGACTCTTCATAAGTACAGAAGGAGTTTTGCATTGAGACCCGAGCAGGGCCATCCAGGTGCCCAAGCTTGTCCTAAACCTATTGAGCAAGGACCTATCTCAATGTGATAACTCATACAAATAATTCAAATTCAACAGATGGGGTTTTTCACAGGAAACCTGTTAGTGACTTCGTATTTCCATTCCTTGATCCAAAGGATGTGCGCTGATGGATCTGGCTCAGGACAGTTGCTCTGTATGGCTTGCCACAAGGTGGGTTGAATAGGTTTTCATCAATTGGCTAATTTGTGGCAGAGCAATGTTTGCAAGGACTGGACGACGGAGGACAGGTGTTGAGTGAAAAGTTCTAGTTACAAAACACGTTGCACTTGTTGCATTCAGTAGAGTATTAAAAAAATGGGCGTGTGATCACTTGTTCCAGACAGGTACACAGTATTTTGCTGCAAAGTATTACAGGACAAATGCTGAGGTCCAGAGCGCTGTGGCAGCAGCACCCCATGTTGATCTGGCAAGTTTGTTTCCTGGGATTCTTTGTAGTTTTGACTTTGTTGCAGTTTTCTTCAGAAGTTCCCAGAAGAATAAAATCCCATCAAGAGTCATTCTCATTGTGTTAGGTTGGGATCAAACTGCAGACTGGGGCCGTCACATTTACATAGGCACTTCTTATTTGGCAGCTGGCATTGTGGAGTTTAAATACATGAGAGAAGATTTTAGGGGGATTCAACATGAGGTGCCATTAGGTGCAGTAGCCTATTAGCTCTAAAGGATGGGGATAGGGTGGCACAACAGATCTCGTTAATACAGATGAACTTGTGGCTCATGGTTGTTGCCAGGTTGTTTGAATATAAGGTGAATGGAAATCAGCCTAGCACAGAGCCCTGTGGAAGTCCATGACCAGTCTATTCCAAGTTTACAGTAGACAAACATACCCAAAATGTTGACTGCTCCTTTCCTTCAGATGCTGCCTGGCCTGCTGTGATCTTCCAGCCTCCTGTTTGTCTACCTTGGATTCCAGCAGCTGCAGTTTTTGGTCTCTATTCCAACTATACCCCCCTCACCCGAGACAGACTCAGAATTGATTTTTTTATTTATTTGTCACGTGTACTAAGTTTAGGAATACGTAAGTACTGCGAAAAGTGCACAAAGTCACTATTTGCTGGCACCCACTTGGTTACAAAAAACAGAATTAAAAGATTTAACAGAGCCAAAAGGTAAGTAAGAAAAAAAAAGTCCAGATCTCAGAGTCCCAAGTCCCATCTCCACAATGGTGCAGGCCCCGCTCCAATCGCTAGGACACCCAGGAGGCTTCCGCCGCCGCCATGGGAAAGGCCCGCTCTCACCGCCGACTGCTGCCCCCTCACAGACCCCGCTCTCACCGCCCACTGCCCCCCCACCGGCCCCGCTCTCACTGCCACTGTCTCACAAGCCCCACTCTCACCATCACTGCCTCACCGGCCCCACTCTCACCACCACTGTCTCACTGGCCCCGATCTCGCCACCGAACCGGCTCCACTCTTGATCCACTGCCATCACTCCGGCCCACCCTCGATCCACCGTCGCTGTAGGAGATGGCCTGTGTGTTCAGCTCCCACTATGTGGTTCTCGGTTGTGACCTGCCTGCTTAGGTAGGTAGCCAAAAGGGCGGAAATTGGGGGGGAATAGAATTACTAGACAGAGGAGAGTGAAGAAGAAGAGAAAAAGAAAGGAAAAGGAAAGCCAACCGGAGAGCAGAGTAAAGCTCCGAATGAAGCGAATTACCCTGCCACCGCCTTGCTAAGTGGATCCTTTCTTTGCTTGTTGCAAATACGTTTTAACAATTGAGCCTGATTAGAACAATTTGGGACAGTTTTAGGAGCAGGTTCATGTGCAGCGATGAGGTTCAGTAGTGCAATGCCTGTCTTTAGGTTCTTCTGGGTACCATTGGAGGGGGTGTGGTTAGTGGTAGTGGATTAAACATTGGCCTTTGATAAAGCGAAGTATTTTTTGCAAAACGTTTAAGAATTTTTAGATATTCGTAAAATCAGAATGGGGAGCCAGTGAATGTGGTGTATTTGGATTTTCAGAAGGCTTTTTATATAATTCCACATGGTAAATTAGTAGATAAAAATTGGAGTAATTGGGGCCCATATTGTGGATTCTTTTACAGGCAGAAAGTAGAGTGTAGGTCATTTTCTGGTTGGAGGCTGTGACCAGTGGCACACTGTAAGGATAGTGTTTGAGCTCCAGCTTTCCCACAATCTATGTCAATGATTTGGATGTGGGAACCCATTTTATTATTTCCAAGTTTGCCGATGGTATAACATTGGGTGGGAAAATGTGTTGTGAGGAGAATGCAAAGAGATACAGAGGATTTCAGACAGACTGAGTGAAAAGGCAAGAACAAGGCAGATGGAATATTACATGGAAATTATATTTAAATGGTGAAATAATAAATCTGGAATTACAATCAAGCCTAATGGAGACTGTGTAACCGTTGTCAATTATCACAAAACACATCTGATTCACTAATCCTTTTAAGGAAGGAAATCTGTCTTTCTTTCCTGGCCTGGCCTACATGTGACTCTAGACCCACAGCAATGTGATTGACTCTTCATGGCTGTCTGGGTAACTAAGGAGTGGCAGTAAATGCTGGCCTGGCCAGTGTCGCCAACACCTGTGAATGAATTAAAGTAAGGACTCAGATGCCCTTGCAGTTGCTGAATCTTTTATTCTGTCACATGTGATGACTTTTGTTTCTTGAGGAATGGAGCCTACCTTCTGGCAGAGAAAGAGAGTCATAAAGGTGTCACTAAACATGGGCCTTTCTATGCTTGAGCAGTTTGACTGGAATTCCATCCCTCTGTTTGCTGAGCAGTCTATGGCTTTCTCAAGCTCCAGGGATGAGATGTTGTTCACTGAACACATCATGGCAGTAATCTGCAGGTCAGGCTCAAAAATGGGCTGAGAAATGTCTGACTCACACTAGTACAGCTCAAAGCAGTGTCCAGCCCAATGGGAAATCTGTTTATGTCTCTGGTGACTATACCACTGTCTGCCAATTTCAGGAGCCAGCATCTTTGATGATTGTCAGACCTAGCCCTCTTGATCCCTTAATGCATAGCTCATAGCTTTCCATTGTCACAGGCAGGATGGATTTCTTGACAGAAGTTGATGCATTGTTTATTTTCACTGTACCTCCTTGTCTTTTGCACAGCTGTCTTAGCTACTGTCAGGTCCTGTAGTGTTTTAGCTGTTGCATTCATGTTATGCATCATGTAGGCTTTATATTTTGCATCAATGATGGATGTCACCTCAGCTCAGCAGGTCTTAAGCCAGTCCTTGTTGTGGTTCCACCATTACCAAATTATTCTTCTGCTGCTTCACAGGTGATTGAACAGAGTGACTAGCAAGCTTCATCAGAATCAACATCAGCACTTCCTGGTAAAACTTTGGGAACAGCACTCTGCTGACAGCGCAAAGTGCTGGTATTTGGCAACATTACTTGTGTAAGGGATATTACCGCATGGTATGCCATCCCATTTGGAACTGTGGAAGGTTTGGGGTCTATTTGCCTGCTGCTGACATAAGAGTGGTTGTTGTTGCAGTCTACCACTTTAGTAGATGTAGGTGTGGAGAGCACTGGGCAGATCATGCCTCTCAAGATGATCTGGTCTGGTTGGTGCCAATGTCCAGACTTTGGGTGACTCTATGATACATTACGGTGGTGTATGCCCTGAAAGAAGGTATGGATGATGCAGACGTCACTCAGGACATAAACCTCAAGAAAGCACTGTCCAATATTGTTGATCTTGCCTTGTTAACTGAGGCACATTGGCCTTAAATCATTCTTAGTCCTAGCATGTTAATTGCAGTCACCCAGGATGCCCTTTGCTAATCGAATCACAGAAATACTCTTTGAGCTGCTGATGTACAGAGTTGATGCACAGACACGTATGAAGTTGACT